AAAATTTCAAAAAATCATCATTTTATGCGGATTTTGTCGTTTCCGAAATAACCCAGGGGTATATTCAACATTGTCCACTTCATGAAATGACCAAAATGGACAAATCCTCATAAAAAAAAAAAATTTCAAAAAATCATCATTTTATGCGGATTTTGTCGTTTCCGAAATAACCCAGGGGTATATTCAACATTGTTCACTTCATGAAATGACTAAAATGGACAAATCCTCATGAAAAATAAAAATTTTCAAAAAAGCATCATTTTATGCGGATTTTGTCGTTTCCGAAATAACCCAGAGGTATATTCAACATTGTCCACTTCATGAAATGACCAAAATGGACAAATCCTAATAAAAATAAAAAATTTCAAAAAATCATCATTTTATGCGGATTTTGTCGTTTCCGAAATAACCCAGGGGTATATTCAACATTGTCCACTTCATGAAATGACCAAAATGGACAAATCCTCATAAAAAAAAAAAATTTCAAAAAATCATCATTTTATGCGGATTTTGTCGTTTCCGAAATAACCCAGGGGTATATTCAACATTGTTCACTTCATGAAATGACTAAAATGGACAAATCCTCATGAAAAATAAAAATTTTCAAAAAAGCATCATTTTATGCGGATTTTGTCGTTTCCGAAATAACCCAGAGGTATATTCAACATTGTCCACTTCATGAAATGACCAAAATGGACAAATCCTAATAAAAATAAAAAATTTCAAAAAATCATCATTTTATGCGGATTTTGTCGTTTCCGAAATAACCCAGGGGTATATTCAACATTGTCCACTTCATGAAATGACCAAAATGGACAAATCCTCATAAAAAAAAAAAATTTCAAAAAATCATCATTTTATGCGGATTTTGTCGTTTCCGAAATAACCCAGGGGTATATTCAACATTGTCCACCTCATTGATACCCGTGGATTGCAGTATTTGTTACGACAATTTCTGAAAATTTTTTAATTGCCACCCTCTGATTATTGCAAATACAATAGAGGAAGTTGCGCAATAATGACAGTCTTCCGCGTTCTCTTTCTTTCTCTCTCGGAGCCTAAGATGGAGGATCCTTGCGAAAACAACACCGTTGGAAGGCAAGTTTTTTATATGAACGTTTAAATTTTAACGATTTTAAGTTATTGTGAACTATTTGAAAGAATGTTGTCTGGTTTTGCTCTTTTGCTATTTTAATTTTAACATAACACATACATAATCATTTATTTTTGAGTAACTTTAGGTACGTTTCTTTTCGAATATTCTTGTCTGCAATCCGTTTTATTTTGTACCTGGCTTTTTTTTGCCTTACCAATTAGGTGACTGGAAAATGATGAAAACCCTCATTTTTTTTCATGAAAAATTAAATAAAAGATAACTTTTAAAATGTTTGCCGAAGGGCACAACAGTATTTGGGGGTATCGCATCCCTTTGTGAGCCTTATAGTACTCATCGAGCAAATATCTGTCTGATGTTCAAAATTTAACCCATTAATTCCATCCAGCACAACCAGAAGGACGAGCCAGAGTGCAAATAGAAGCGGGAAGAGGATTGGATTGTAGTTGAATCGTTGAACCCTGTTTAATATACTTGAAGTTAAGGGCAGGAACAATTGTGAGATTGTTGAGAGGGGATCAATTTGGGGGATCAATTTTCGTTGTTTCAAGGCTGCAGAAAACAATTAGCTTTATTAGCTATTTTAGAACTTTGAATAACATTTTAGAACTTTAAAAATTTTTGCAGAAATCAAATTGAGAATCTCCTTCTTCCGTATTGGGAACGCGGAATGACTGACACAAGCAGTGAAGTTGGCAAAAAGCTTGTCTCGGAAGCCCTTCAAAATAATCCATCGTTAACACGAAGGCAAGTGAAGGTAAAGAAGCAGCTCTTCTAATATTTTTTAAGATAGGCACGTTGACACTACTTTTAGGAATGAGTTTCAAAGGATTATTTAGCCTGTTGTATTTCCAGAATTTTTTAATTTTACTAATGAACTGTTCTTTGTCCGTGATAATTCTTTTCCATGCCATCAACCCTTTGCAGCTTTTTTTGCTGAATGCTTCCTTTTCGTTTTATTTTCACGGTCTTTGATGACTGTTTGGAACCAGGAATGCTGAAAAAAGTTCTGTAGTTTCCATTTTTGTTAAAAACTAAAAGGATTAATATTACAATAATATGCAAAATTACACCATAGCATCAATTGGAGCAGGGGTGAGACTGTTAATGTACTTTAAATGATTCCCTACCCTGGGTGCCAGAGTGACAGGGCCACAGAATTTAGAACGTGTATTCAGAATGACAAGCGAAGGAGCTTCTTTATGGCTCAATACATTGCTCAATACATCAAAATTATGCAATTTCTTTCACATGATGATGAATACTAGCTCTTGGCAAACAAAAGATTAACTTTCAACTTGAATAAATTGGACTGTCGAAAGACAATTTTGATTGAAGATTTATCTTATCTCAAAACAAAACAAAAAAATCACTTCTGTACTTTATTTTTACTCAAGTGAAGTGACAAAGCAACAAAAAAATACAACGCATTCTTTTAAATTTTTGAGCCAGCTTTACAACTATTACATTTGTTGCAAATTACCTTATTTGTACATTTATTTAAACTTAATGTATGATTGTAGAAGTCCCTTAATTACACGAGTAACCAAAGCCTAGAATGGCGGGTTGAAATATTAATTGATGATTACATTTGAACATTTTCTCTTTGTGAGTCATTTTCTATTTATATTGCGTTGTTCTTCGTCGTTTTGCGTTGTTACTGCTTGATTTTTTTGGTCTAATTGTTTTCTTTAACATATTAGGATTGGATAAATAACTATAAAAAGAAGCTATCAGGTAAGAAAAGGAAGAGAAGCAAACAGAGCAATTCGAGCATAAGAAAAAGAAAGAGAACAGCTCGTGATATATTTCAAGAAGAATTTTTAAAACGTAAGTTACATAGTTACATTGCATATGCTAGCCTTTTCAGACCAAGAAAAACGGCAGCCTTGCTCTCATGTGTTTTTCTTTCAGACGCAAACTGACTTTTTTCAAAGCCATTTTCGTGTCCTGTACCGCCAAAAAGTTTTTAAAATTTACTTTTCGTAGAGCTTTGAGAAATTAAAGAAGTTAAGATGTGTAGGGCCTTTTGGCAACATACTAACTGGATAGGGGAGGGGGCAAATTTACTTCCAGCTCCAGTGACTTTCAATTGCTTTCTATTGCCCTACTCTTTATATAAGCAACGGCTTGCCCTAGCTGGGAAATTCCCTTCAAAAAGGCTATGAAGATGAGGGCTTTTCATATCAACCCAAGGAAGTAATGACTTTGCATCTTTGTAACAGAAAACCACGGTAGTATGAGAGGACTGGAGGAGGAATGGAGCAGGGTAAAACGAGATAAGACAGCCTTATGTGCTCTGGAGACAGAAGCAGAAGAAAGAAATGCAGGGACGGTGTTGCTGACCAACTCGGAGAAGGAGCAAAAAGCCATGAAAATCAGGAAAGAGATGCAGAACCTTGTAATCTTGCTTATTTGTCTATTGTTATGATTTAATCCAGGCAGCTACAATTTGCATTACTAATTGAAAGGGATGGAACATGTAATTGAAAATATAGATGAATCTGCAAACTATTTACAATAAGCTTTCTAATGCTAAAGCAAGAGAGGTGATAAGTGACAGACGCAACAGCAAAGCGCAAGATTGAGTTGTATCTTACCTGGAGAGTTATTTTTGGGCATGAAGCTTAATTTTTTTGGAAAAACTTCCCTAGCCAAAAATGTTTCGTTTATAATCTTTATGTATACCACGAAGAAAATTTTAAGTAAAAATAAAGAGGTCTCTTCATCGTGGCCATCTAGCGCATTCTTTTTAATAGAAAACCTGTGAAAATACAATGACGCAGTACTGATGAGATTAGGCTCCTGCTGAAAGAATCCGCTCTATGGGATTCATTTATCATGTAAGCGTTTTCTGGGCACTTTTCCATTTCACAATGTTAAAACATGGTGTTCATTGAAATATTGTCTGTTTGGATCGCTATTAATTTTCCTGATTTTGTACTAGGCCATAAATGAGGAATAACACTTTTTCAGGCAACTGAACTCTCAAACATTGGATTCGAATGCTTTGGAATGATTGCCAAGCCAAACAGCAATTTATGTGGTCAGTTTGGAACGCAAAGGGGCAAAGAATTTTTAAATGGAAGTAACTTGTATTGGGAGTTCTTGAGTCAAATCAACGGTAAGACAATTACAAAAATTGTTGGTTTAATGGGCGAACTAATAGCTTATTTGAAAGTAATGCATTTTTCAACAGCAAAAGGGCAAAATTTTATTAAAGTGTTGCCCTTATCTTGTAGTTAGATGTGTAGTTAGAAAATACATAATAACCACAGGATTATGGTAATTAGGTCTTGAATAAATTATTCATAGTAGGCCATAGTTCTATTTTCTATATTGTTTATATGAAAGATTATAAGAAATGGTTAGGTATCATAATTGTATTAAAGAAATATTTTTGGAGATATAGACTGAAAATATAAAATGTAAAATTGAAAAAGTGTCAACCATATTATTTTCTACTTCAAAGTGAACAAGAATGACAAATCCACGATAGAATGGGAAAATTTGCGTTCTGCTGTTCAGGAAAAAATGAATCAAGCATACAGGGGTAAGAAACGACTTTAATGAACAACAATAGTCACCATGCAAATGTGATAAAAAAAGAAGCTTTGATAGAAGAGGGTGGATTAGGATGCATTGGTAACTCAGTTTGTCCTCTTGATATTACAATTTGAAATGTTTCATCACCTTTAAAGTTAGTCATGAAAGAATACTCAATTTTGGACTAAAATCTTGCTAATGGGGAATTTGAAATATCAAACACCGAATAATGAGAATGTAATATCTCGTGGTTTTAGGTTTTAGCAAACAATATGACATATGGCCAAACCGTCAGAGTTGATAGTTTTCAATTTTTCTGAATCTTTGGGCTTTTAGATTCTGGAATGAAGTCAAAAAGGGTTGAATGGAGGAAGATAAAAGAAGGAGATGTTTTAGCCTATGGCTTCCCGGAAAATCTTAATCCAGCGCCAGCGTCCTCATATGGAAAAGAATCTTTGCGAAGACTCCTCGATGAAAATGTAGTTTTTTCATTTCAAAGGGCTGCAGGTGGGAGTTTGATGTTTTTCAAATATTATAAATACAGAAATAAAGAAAATCTGCCTTATTTGCTAGATTATGGCAAAGTTACTTAAGCTTATTTGTTGATTTTCAAAAATTTAAGAAAAAATTGATAGACTTTTTTTCAATAAAACCAAACTGTGCCATTTTACTTCGTTGCATTTCTATACCATTTTGCGTTTATTCAATACACGCTAATCATTGCTTAGCACATTTTCTCTTATTCTCTTTTAGTTGATATACCCGAAGGAATGGAGCCTCCGTTTAAAATACTAGAGTCTTCTAGTAACCAAAATGCCGACTTTTTTGATACGGACACAAATATGGCAATTCAAAACGAAGACGAAGTTGAGCAAATGGCAGCATCAGTCGATCTGAGTGATCCAGCTCACCTGAAAAATTTAGTAACTTCCCTTCAGGAGGCTACCCCTGTCCTAGAAAACTCCGAGGTTTATCCAGTAGAGTGTCTCCTTGGAAAAAAAGTGAGAAAGAAAGTTACCCATTATTTAGTAAAGTGGAAAGGATTCGAGAATCCAACTTGGGAGCCTCACCATAACATCCCGAAAGAAATAAAGCTGGCCTACAAGAATTCAAAAAAATGAGACACTTCATCAATTATATGTTTACGCTTATTTTTATCAATTATGTCCTATTTTAGCTACTTTAGCCATTAAAACTGAAACAGCCATCCATTCATTCTTTTATTTGTTTGCCTCTCTAAGGGCCTTGAGCTTGGAAATAACCCCACAATGAAGGCTCAAAAACAAATCATTTTTGAATTTCTTGATTTTGATTCTAAAGAAATTAAAATAAATCTTTAACTTTATCATATAGCGAAGGTGGAGTACTGATCCGTTTCCACGGAGTGAAATCATTTCGCTCTGGAAGTCACTCTGCTCCACATTCCATCTCGTGCAACTCAGGAATCTGGACTGCTCTTGCTCCACAACTTTCACTTGTGGGATATGTTTTTTTATTTTGTCATCAGATGCCATACACTGATTTGATGCATTTCCATTCACGGAACTGCAAAAAGGTCTGAAATATCATTTCTGTAAAATTATTTCCTTGGCTTCAATTTTCTTTAAAACTCAACCTTCTTCCGTATTTCATGCATAAAAAACAAAGATCTATTAAAAACAAAATTCCTTGCTCTCAGCTAAAGAAAAGAAAGAAAGCAACTAAAAAGACATGAAGATGTGAAGAATGGGTATAAAATCGTAATGGGCACAGAAAAACAACTCAGAGATAAGAACGAGAGTTTTCGGATGTCTAAGACAGCTCTTTACAAAGAGACAATAAAAAAAATCCCTGTTGTCACAAATATCTTATAAATCGATTGAATACTTGTGTTTAGTTTCCAAACTATTGCAAAATTGCCAAACAGAGGCAGCATAGGCAGCAACACAAAGAAAGCAAGCACAAGCTAGTTCATAATAAGCCACGCAGGGGCTAGAACCTTCGGAAAAGAATCACAGCCAATAAAAAAGACATTGTTTGAAACAGTCGACAAATCAGGTATTTTGATCAGGTATCCTTAAGCCTAACAAAAAGGTCAAAGTACGACACACCAGACTTGACAATTAAGATATGAGTAAGACTAGATGGAACCAGTACTCCGGGCAAAAGATCTGCAAGACGAGCAACCAACACCGCCTCCCCATAAACCCATCACCCTTCCCGTCCCTTTGACCACGGGGAACTTGTTATATCCTATTTTGAACCATTAATGCTCACATTTCTGGCCTTGATAAGACCAAAATTGATGTTTCCCGAAAATGGATGGCTAAGGAGAGTGTGTGCAGCTACTATTAACCAAAGAAGGACAAATCCACAAACTATTCGTTTCGATACAGTTTTGATGGAAGGCATTTTCCCAGTGCTTCCTCAGCGTGTTTACCTGGTTCTAATGACCCTGGGTTGATAAAAATTACTAAAAAATAAAGCATATTTTTCCTTCGAACAGTGTATTGGATCTGTTTTGTGAATTTCTCCACATGTCATTACTTTCCATCGTTGAAACTTCATAGCTGCAATGAAACACAAACAGAAAATTACAGGTTTAGAGAAACATCGGTGCGAGAACTATAGAAATTACTAATGGTAATTTCTAAAAAAGAGACTTTTTTGTTATTCTTTAACTTTCATCCTCAAATAATACCTGGTATATTAACAAAACAGTGTGAAATTTCTTGCAAAAAGTACATTCAAATTCGAAAACTCCCTCTTTAAACCTACAAAAATAAATTTCACAACAGAAAAGAGATTTCCTAAAATAGAATTCCTCTTCTCTAGAGGCAAACGTTTTTGCCAACAACAGCCTTTTCGATATTTTAAAGCTAGCCTGTGTATTATCAAAGATAGGGGTAAGCCGCCGTGCCTCAAACAAGTGTGAGGCAGAAGATTCGACATGGAGCATGCATGTTTTTTGATATTCCGATACATCGGTCTGCCCGAAACAGTCACTAAAACTTTCTTTTCCACCCAACCAATGCAACAAGAACACTTTTTTATGATCTTTTTCTTCTTGGACTTCTGCTGTCGAGAACCTTGCTCCAAGTAACCATCTCTTAATAAACCAATCTAAAAATCACAAAAACGTCACATTTCTTTGATTTCATTCAATAGGAAAAATCTAGAAAAGTAAATAAGATAGGGATCGGTACCCTGAGTGCCAGAGCCAGACAATTTCGAGCGCAGAGATAGAAAATAGGAGAGGAGGCTCCTCCGCTTTTCCGTTTGGCGCGCTCAAAGTGTTGTGAATCTGGTAAGGGATCGGTTAATAAGCTAGCCTACGCGAATGCCTATCAAATTTGTGTGGCATTTGGAATGTTCTTTGGTATAAATTTAGGTAGAAATCATATGTTAAAACGGGAAAATTTAGCAACAGCTTTTGAAAATTTCAATTGCGTGAAAATATTGACATACCTTTTGATTCATCTCTGATAGGTGTGCTACCTCTTTTTTCGTCCCTTATTGGGCACTCTGCTGGGATATCTATAATATAAATTTATAGAGGATCAAAATTGTTTCCTACATATCTATTCATATAGATTAACTTGTTAACATATCTATCCATTCAATCATATCGCTCCAAGATATGGCCCAAATGTACGCACTTCTTATGTCAATCAAGTGATTTGCTATCAAATATGGGAATAATAAAAAACAAAGATTAAGCAAGGCATAATTTTTGAGATCAAAAAGGTAAAATAGATCTGCTTATAAAAAGAACACGAATTTCTCCTTATAAAAGAATATCCAAATTTTTCTAAACATAAAAAATTCAGGTGACCGTATATTTCTTAGACTCTTAATGTAAGCAAAAATTATTATTAAGAAAAACTGACTGTACGTTTTAGAGCTAGCTATAGACTTTGAAACGAATCTCATTTGCAATGCTAACACAAAGTCCAAAAATTATGCCACTATCATATCTGACTTACAATTTCAGTTTAAGTCAGTCTCGTTTGTCAATCTTGTCAACAGTTCACTTGGTTTTTTGGCAACTCCTGCAGCTCATTTATCGACATGTGTGACTCTTTGTCCATTGATCATCAACAGAAACGCTATCTCATCTCCAAACTTACAGGCATCTCCATTCGCACCACATACTATATATTCTGCTGTAGAAACAAAACTTGGACTAACCCAGAGCTACTCCCCTTTTAACATTGTTTTTTCTTTTCTCATTACTACGATTGTAATAGTTTTTATTTTGTAAAAACAGGCTAGCCAGTTACAAATTACCTTGTAATAGTGAGATAAATTACTTTGTAATTGTATATTGAACTGGAATTCAAAATGAAAGTTTTCATTATTATCATTATTATTGTTATCATTATTTTATAATTCTATGTCTTCCATGTACTGTTCTTGCAACTATGTCAATATCAACCCATGGCCTCAAGATAATAGAAATGATCATTTGATGGAAAACGTCTTTCTCAGTACGAGGGCGACTCCCAGCAGATCAATCATCTGTAGCTCACCTATGTAGCAGTTTTTATGTCACTAGAAATTTGACGAGTGTACTTCTCGAGGCCTTTCTTCACGAGTCCAAGTGCACCTATAAATCTGGTCTATTAGCTTTATCTCTTTTTCAGTGTTCACTGGCATGTCCCATAATATTGTGGCATTTTCATTTTCAATTACTTTCTCAGGTGTATGCTCATACAAATTCTTTGCAGCTGGGAGGTGATAATGTTTGCATATTTTCCAGTGCATATGCATATTTTCCTGCTGCCTTGTTATGGCGCTGAATGTATTCAGTTTTAGCGAGTATTGGGAGCCGGCTAGAAAGTGGTAAATACTTTCATGTGCAGCGATAATTTCATTGCGGTATAGTTTTGTTGCTAAGCTCTGGTTTTGTGCAGCGATGATCAGTTCTTCAGTTTCTCCCTTCAGGCCTGGGCTCTTAAACCACAAGTGGGTTTTTTTTGTCAAGGTCTGGTTTACTCAGTCTGATTGGTTAATGAACATGCATTGCTTTTATTATTAGTAGATTTCATTATCAAAATTTTTACGAACAAATGGTAATTCTGAAAATATCAGTCTACACCAAACTTCACCAAATATCTGTTTGCGATTTAGAACTTTTACGGGGACACTCTCAGATCTAGCCCTGGGTCAATCTGCCACTGTCCCCCTCTTGAATGGGCTTTCTGTCGGGGCGTCGTGGGTTTTGACTCTCATGGTAAGGGGCACAGCTTACGAATTTTCCTATATGATTACATAAAGATAATGACGTCATGAAGCGCAGGCGCAGTTATTATAAACATGTAAAGCCTAGCCATATTCATCTTCTGCGTTAGTTTTACTTAACAGCAAACACCCAATAAAATCGTAAAAATACAAAGAAATAAACTGGATAATTTTAAGTGCATGAGAAGTCTCACTAGCAACGGTGTGCCGACTTCATCATTGTCAGTTGAGTTAAGTACAAGCTTGAAATTCATTTTCATTAGAGTTAAATTTCTCTTTTGGCTCATTGTTAATCGCAGACTGTTTAACTTATTTTGAAAATGTGACCTTTGGAAAGCTTTTGAAACTGACAGACTGAAAATTGAATGCCCGCAAGTTTGGCTTTCGTTAGAAAACCTTAAAGCCTTCTCCTGTTTACATCTTTCTTGGCAATCACCATCTCGTGTTGATTAGTTTCTCTAAATTTTCATAGTTTTCTTTGAACGCCCAATAGTATTTATCCAAATGGACACGAAATTTTCCGAAAAATTTCTAATGGTCCTTGCTTGGAAAGAGGGGAGGGAGGACGTGCCTAAATCTCATCAACCACATGAGGGTCAGGGTAGGCTTTTTCCCCAGCAAATTCCTGTCATATGGTCTCAGTTGACAGCGTTATGAACAAAAGGAAAAAAAACAGTGATCAGTTTGCGAATTGTGAACCTCTTAGTTGCAATATATCACCTAACTTTTAAATTTTTAACTGATTTTGCAATTTAGTGGCTCAGTTTGTCAAAGGTTAACAATTATTTAAAAAAAAAAAATTTTGACATCACACACACAAACTCAATTTCAAAAGTTGTTTTATGATATTGTTCCAGCATCATTAGAGCCTGTTCATTGTATGTTCAATGGTTGTGATATTGCTGGTATAGTTTTTGTTTGCTACATCATTTGATATATGATATAGTTTAAATTAGAAATTCTTACCAGGGAAGTCAGTGAAATCATCAGAATCTATTTTTTTAAAGAAATCAAGCTCTTCTGGAAGGATAATTGATGTTCCATCCTCATACAGTGATGTGACTTTGAGCTCCAGTTCAATTTTTGGATACAAACTGTTAAAAGGAAAATGTATACTTGATATCAGCAATCAGCAGCTATTGTTAGATATATTTGCATTCAATTCTATTAATTGCCCAATGGAGAGTTTGTCACAAAACCTTCTAGCAGGGGGCATAAAAAACTTTGTTTGTCTGATGGAGAAGGTTGAGTTTCAAAGTGAACAAAAGAAGGGATTTAAAAGTACACCTATTTTGCATAAATTTGGGAAGTTGTCAAGAAAGCAAACAAAGTAGCTAGAACAAAAAATACTAATGAATACTGAATTCACGTATAAGTTAATTCATCACAATGAATCAATGCATGATGCTAAAGATTGAATCATACAGCAAGAAATTTAACTTAGAATGAGATTTGGAATAAAATTATGGAGTCACCCCCTGCCCTAAAAAGTTTAGCAATTTATAATCATATTCATTGCAACCACAGTCTTGGGGATACATTAAAAATGTAACTTAATCTATGTAAATATATGTTTTCCATGTAATATTTGATGTATACACACTTATGATATTCTTCCCTGCTGATCTTGTGTTTCTTTCTAAGATGTCTTGTAAGATCATTGAAAGCTTCCCACTGTTTGGGACAACCAGTGACCTTACAGAACTCTCTTTTACGATATTTCATGTAAGGTCTATGGTTTGCTGATAAAAGGTCATTATCAGATGGAACTGGCAGCTTCCGGTGATCAACAACAGTCAGTAGTGGATGATACAGTTTTAAGTGCCGATACAGGTCTAGAAATATTTTGCCATAAGATCTGCAATTCTTAACTCTGCATGGCCCTTCCAGTTGATCAGTTTTCTAGAAATATATGGTTTAAATGTAGTCCCTGGCAGGTGCAATGAATTCAAACATGACCATACTCTGCCTAATTTAATAATAAACAGTTTTATTACTAAAAACTAAATAAATTTGGACCCTCAATTTTTGAAAACCCCCATTGAAAAGGAAAAAAACACAAAACAAGTCTATTTTGTTCTTTAGGAATAAATGTATTAAATTACAGATTATAATTTGTATTATTTGACTACTTGAAAACAAATTTTTTTGAAAAAAGGTTTGCAAAATATCCTCTTTGTCAAATAAATGGTGGGTGCACATGAGAAAACTATATCTAACTATTTGCACCAGTTAAACAGTCAGTGATCATTAATTTGGTATTGGTTAACAGCTTATTATTCATTTACAGCTATTTGAGCAACCCCTGCTACAGCCCATCTCCTCAGGGTGCAACCCCTGTCCAAGAACCGTGCTGCTATTATATAGTGAGGGGCTTCAACGTTGTTGGGGGCTAAACATGTTGAAAACCAACAGCAAGGCATTTTCAGTATGATTTTAAGTACATTTTGGCAATTATTTGATGGGGGGCTAAAACACCCTAGGCTCCCTATCCCTGTCAGCTGTAGAAAATTTAAAACCAAAAAGACATTTTCAAAAATTTCAAACACAGGAAAAATATTTCCCAGTGGCAGACACGCCCCTGCCATTCGAATTCTAGACCAGCCACGTAGCTGCAGGGGGCACGGGGTGCCCCCTCCCAAATGAAAATTTTGACAACAACTTGCCCCCTCTGGCTACTGTTTTTCCAAATGATATTTTAAAAAGTTGGCATAATTATAATTCCGTAAGCTTGATTTAGTCCAAATATATCTGTTTGTTATATATCTGCTCTCTTGTTTTAAAGACCGCCCCCCCCCCCCTTCAGGTATGGTTCTTGCCCGAGTTTGCCCACCCAATCTTGCCGACATCTACAGCTTCGTGGTTGTTCTAGACATGCTTTGAAAATATATTTTAACATTAGCAGTTAGTTTTGTTGCTAGCCAATCGCTACACTTTCCAACAACTCTTTTACAAGCTATAAATACATTTAAAATATTTACAAATAACACGTCTATGCTGTTATCCACTTGGCGGTAAGTACCCCTTTACTACATCCCAACCAAAAATTGACAACCAACTATCCAACAACATCTAATAACGTGAAAAAAGAATGAGATTTGTAAAATGTAGAAGAAAATTTGAGACACGAAAGAAATTTACTCACTTTCTTTTGCGATTTAGCTGCACTGAACATCTCGGTAACACGCTTCCAACAGGCCACACTACATCTGAGATTTGGCGCGAAATACCACTATTAAGTTGATATGGCAATTATTACTTGTACAGTACTTACCGTGACACTCGCCAACACATGTTAGGTGTTGCTAACACACCGCGATAGTGAGCGTACCACTCTAATACAGAGTTTTACGCTACTTAGTGTACCACCCTATCAGAATCGGGTG